TATTTATAGTTAAAATGCCTAGAAAATGAAAAGCAGTCTTCAACTGAAACGCAGTTGATGTAATTGATATTTTAAAAACTTTGACAAGAATGCAAAATTTATGGAAGTGTAACAATAAAAAAATCTTAATTTTCTTGTTTCAGCACTGGAAACAAATGTAGAAGTAAAGAAGGAAATTAGGGGGGAAAAAGCAAAAATTTAAAGGAAGTTGGGTGTTCAACGAGAAAACACTTGGACGTACACACCAGCAAATAGCAGCAATTGAGTTAGTACTAATGGAAAGACAAAAACCATATCATTGCAGATTAAATTGAAGAGCGACTGGTTTTGAACTATATGGTTGTATAAATTTAAATTATGTCATAGAACATCATATTGTCTCATAAACGGAATATCCCACGATTTCTCAGTCAAATTATTTGAAGATTCAGGAATTTATCCAGTGATACTATAAGGTATTACTCTCGCCTTCTTAACGTGTCATGGTGTAGTGGTCTGCACGGTCGGTGCGTATTTGAGAGGTCGGTGGTTCGATTCCCGGTGAGGGCATTGTTCATTTTTCAAGTCTCCTGCTTCCAAAAAATCTTAATGGCTCTAAAACATATAATCATCTAAAGATGTTTTCTTTCTTGATGAAACCAGTCTTTTCTTTCATCTCATGCCTCCAAAATGCTTAGCCACTAAAGACTAATAAAGGCTCTGACCAAATACTGATGAAATGGATTGAATTTGATTATTAAATTGTGGCAAATAGGGCTATCTGCCTAAAAGGAGGGATGCCTTTAATCTAAATGGAGAACTTTCTATGGGAAACCAGCTGGCATACACGTTACAATGAGAAAAACCACAAAAACACCCATGCAACCAGCCCATGCGCAGGGATTCGAACCCCGGAGTGAACTACCAGTTTTCAGCAACTTTACCACTTCACCATGAATCGCGGGCCTTTATGAAATGAAAGGCGATAGCTTTATTTAAAATGAATGTCAGAAATACCAAGATGTTTAAAAAAGTTGGATGCTTTTTAATATACTTGCAGAATGTCTGAAGAAAATGAGCAAGCCATTAAGAAGAAAAAAATAAATTTTTGCATAAAATTTAGTAATTTTTTTTAATTTAAAACTTTTTAATCTTATGATATTTGATTCTTGCTATTTCAAAAATAAAATATTTAACTAAAATATGAATAACATTTGATGAAACTAAATGTAGAGTGATAAAATTGTGAAAAGCAATGAGCACAATGTGAAAAGCTCTATAAGGTATTTTTCCCGCCTTCATAGCCACCCTTCAGTGTGTAGAGGTCAGCACACTCAACGTGTAATTGAGAGGTCCGAGGTTCGATTCTCGGCAAAGGCGTTGCTAATTTTTCATCTCCTCTACTTCCAAAAAATACCTAATGTCTCTACAGCTGTTTAAAGCAATATACGTAAGTCATCCTAAGTTGAAATGTCGGTTATACATCTTTCTCATTTATAAGTCTTTTCTGAACGGAACATTGAAAGGCGTGTTATTTGTGCTTTACTGTATTTTCTCTTTTAATATATTGATTTTTCAGATGCATCGTAGTCTGGGACACAAAAAGTATTCTTCCGAAAGAAACGCAATTCAAATAAATAAAGTGAAATACTGGAAAATTTATATTAATAAATATATTTAAAATGCTCAGTTCGAATGAATAAATAGAAAATTTTAAAACAATTATCTGAAGAGACAATGCTACACAAACAATTAAAATAAAAGTCTAAAAATTTAAAAATTACCCAAAATAATAACTATGACCAAAAAATATAAAGAAAACTGTTTGAAAAAAAATAAACCATGCACCTTTTATTTAAACTGCGCAGTTCGAATGGGTAAAGAGAAATTTTTAAAACAGTTTTCGAAAGAAATCATGCAACTTAAACAATTAAAATGAAATTCAAAAAAGAAAAAATTACTTAAAGTAATAAATAATTATAATTAAAAATATAATATAAAGAACATTATTTGAAAGAAAGGAATGATTGTAGCTTTTTTTCCCCTCTCATGGAAAAGGAATATAAGGTTGCCATATATTAAGAAATTCACTAAGTGAATTATTCTTGGCGAAAACTGGAAAAAAGTGCCAACTTAAATTTGTGAATTTCTCCATAAATTTTGCACCCAATTTTACAAAATTTCATATTTGGGCATAATTTGAGTCACAGAATCACAATATGGAAAAAAATTGGTATGTTATTTCAGAAAAAGTCCAATTTTGTGTCAAAATAACTATGTTAGAATAGAGCTATAAATAAATCTAATATGTATCCTAAATCGCGCTTTCGAGACATGAAGAACAACACAATTTGAATTTTGTCAATCGGCCCAGTAGAACGGGAGACATAGAACTGTCTCCCTCCCCCCTTTTTTTTAATTATGTGTGCACTGTACAATGATAGCAATACAATAGCAATGACAAGCTGATAGATATAAAAATGGTTAAAAATTTTGGCACTTTCTGGTTATCCACGTACCTAATTGCAACATTCAGTAGAACTGGCGTATTTTGGCATGTTTTCAAGTGTACATGCAACAACAATCTTTTCAAGTGTACGAGTGAGTGTTTCTTTCCGGTTTTGCAGAGTCTTGAATATGCATTGATTTTTGTAAATGTGTAGATAATCTGAAAGCAGCCGGATTTTACTTATGCTTAAACATACTGTGTTTATTTATTTATTTAAACGCAATATAAGCAACTTGCTAATTTAGTATTTGCTGGGAAATAATGTGTAAACTTATTAGTCTCATCATGGAACTCATCTTGCAGTGCATGGAATGCATTACAGGAGATGACTCATTATCACTTTTTGTAAGGAAGGGGAAGCTATACATAAGAGCTAAATCTACAGTTTTGATATTGTCTTATTAGCTATTTATATCAATAGTTATATCACCCAGGATAGTTACAAATGTAAAACTATGCAGAGAATAAGCTAATTCATATCAATATATTATTAGTTGGATACTACCTACATATTTGCTGAAATTATGTTTACATATGTTTGTTTATATGTGTAGTTCAACTAGGTATAGTTAGTTGTTCAGTTTATGTTATTTAGCATATAGGCTTTTTTTTTCATAGAATTGATATTATATTTGATAGTTTAGAATTTTTATTTGCTGTGTCCTGATATATTTTTTCAAATTAAAATATAAATTATGTGAAATTTTTTCCCCCCGAAAAGGAATAAAACTGCACATATAGGATAAAATATTGTTTTATAAATATGTATTTATTGTGTATTTTAGGTTAAATGATGTTAATGTATATTTATTGTATGTTATAGGACAACTTGAAAGACCCACAACATATTTCACAGGATGAAGAAATAGAGTTCGTATGATTTTGGTGTGTACATCTAATATAAATCTGACTGTAGTGTGTAAATGTATGGCTGTTTCAAATGGTCAGACACTTACAATTTAATGTATTTATTGATATGCGGTGGTCATTTAGCTGTCTTATCATTCTGAGCCAAATCACACCAGATGAGAGGGATTTTATATTTATAAGAATAAAAAGTTTCATCCCAATTTTGATGGAGAACATTCCAAGGAAAGTATCCAAGACTCTTCCACCCTTTTCCTCTACCATTAAGCCTCTCAAAAGGACTTCCATCTCAACAGTATTTTAAGTGCTTCCATGCTGCTTAGATGCTATATACATACAAACTTTCAAGTCTTTAGGAGTCGAATCCAGGTCCAGTGATACAATAGCCAGTAGCACTAACAACTGTATCGATCAAAGCAGCATGTGTAAATTTAATTTAAATGATATTTTGGTGTATATATAAATATTATATTTAGAATTTTTAATCGAGGAATAAATAATATTATTCCTCATTTTGGAGGGGTAGATTTTAAATAGTATATTGTTATTATATGTGCTTTAACTAGTAGTATTTTGATGGACTTCATACAAAAACTTTAATGCTTATCTTCCACGATATCATAGTGGGTGCTTACAGTACAAAAATACTGTATCATTACTATAGGAGAAACATCAATAATACTCAACTATTTATTTACATGAATTAAAAGTGATAAGAAAAGGAAAAAGAATGTTATATCACGCATCATCATTCACTTCTTAGTCTTTGCGCTCATCCACCTGGTGCTTTTCCATTATATAACTTGGTTATAGTCACAGTTTCATGGCCGTTTCCCATATAATTTGGCTGTCCTACATCGTCATTTGCCCTCAGATGATAATAGCAACATATAAAGCACAGTGAAATTTAACATACAAAATACACTAAAATTAAAAATACTAATATTTTTAAACAATGAATGAAAATACTAAATTAATACAAGTAATTGAAAATAGAATGGAATTAGGATCTTGCAATAGTAGCACTTGGAAGAATTATTTAAAAAAAAAAAAAAAATAGTAGTCGTTGTTAAAGAAAAGATTGATAAGGTTAATCTAAAGGTGTTGATCGGTTTATATTAGAAATTGCCTACAAAATACTAAGTTCACACAATATGTTCTGATGAACTGGTCCAAGGTTTCATCAGTTCAGCACTTCTGCTTGATTTCATTGGTCCATCGAAGAAACCATGTGTCAACATCATAAGTGTCATTTGGCTTGATTTTTCACAATCTTGTACAGTCCAAAAAACTTGGATTTAAGACCAGGTTCATATTATGTATGCTTGACTGCCACTATATTGTGAAGCTGGAACTAATCTGATGGTTTACGTTATTGATTGTAGATTTTATGATTTTCAACCTGCATTTTCATAATCTGTTGTTTAGCTTCCTGTCAAAGATCATCATGAGCACTAACAAAATCTAACTGGATCTGTGCATTTAACAGATCTGTAATTTCGTCATGATTAGCAGATTTCATTTTAGTTCCAAACATGTGTTTGAATGGAGTTGATATTAATACTCCATTGGTACGTTGAATTTCACCAACATGTGTATACCATTTGTTGGATGCTGAATTGATAATTTGGAAAGAACAGAAATTATGACAGAATTCAAGCTTTCAGTTTATCCATTGGCACCAAGCAGTAAGTTATGCTATATTTATACCTCTGTTTATAATAGAGGCTTAACTATAGCGCAGTTAGTTTCACACATTGCCAAATAATTAATGCAAATAATTAATATTAATGTAGCAGCAATTATGTGTATGAATGATGAATTAGGTTTTGTGAAATTGTTCAAGTAACAAGTGTAGATGTGCTGCATGCAATGTTTATTAACTTCATGAAGTTATGCTTCACCATGTTTGTGCAGAAAAAAAATTAATATGTTTTCTGTCTTTTAATACATGTTTAGCTGATACATTTTCTTGTTACTTAACTGTCAGATTACTTGTTTGTTGGTTTTCATAAATGAATCAATTATTATTTTGCGAGGTTTATCACTCTAGATTTCTGCAATATATTTTGAATACAGTCAAAAGTCATTAATCCAGACTCGTCGGGACTTCAGCGATTCCTGATTATCGATTTTTCTGGATTTTAGATCATCAGTTTAAATCTGGTAAGATGGCATACAGAAATTATAAAATTAAAAATATGAAACCGTAATTTATGAAATAAAGAACAATTATGATCTAAAGAGTATCAAAATTTACAAAAAAAAAAAAAAAAAAAAAAAAAAAAAAAGCTAAGCTCAATTTTTTGTTACTTTATTAAACATTTCTTTCAATGTAAGTTGTTTAAGTTGCTTCGTTTTTTATGTGATAATACATTCTCTTTAATTCTATAAACAGACATAATTTCTTTTTCAGTTCCGCTGTTCGAGTCCTATAATTGCTGTGTCGAGAATACCGACTAATTTGTCAATCGAAATTTTTTCGTTTTCAATAACCTCTGCCGCTTTCTTCGCTATCGGAAGCGAATTATAATGACGAGGAATTTGATTTAAATCATATCAAAGATTGAGTACATCAAGATGAAATACTACATTTAGTAAGGAATTATAAGCCAAATAAAATAAAAACATCTGCCCTGCAGATAAGGATAGTGCTGACAGATCAACTTCCAATTCATTGCAGCTGTGGCGTTAATGATAAACGAAGTTTAGATAAACAAACGTTAAAGTTTAGATAAACAAAGGATATGCCTTTATCCATTTTTTGCAACAATTCCTTTTTTTGTTTAATGCACTTGACGACTTGTTTAATGCTTTTGACGAATACAAGAATGCTTTGGCTTTTGCAAGGGAATTCATTCATTTTACTCCATGTTCTGCATCAATTTTCAAATTAAATTCTTTTCCTTTAAAAGTGAATTCGCTGTTTGAAGAGAAACAGAATCAGCCTCTGCGTAATGCATAAAACTCTCCTTTCTGCTGATCATATTAAATATTCCCCAAAAGTGACTCAGTAGCGTTTTGGACATAAAATCCTTTTTATACATTTTGGACCAGTGTGCATTAATGTAGAGTATAATGCCGGGGTATTACTATGCTTTAATATCTTGATTTATATCTTTTTATTTATAAATTTTGTTTAAACCTCTTAGAGATGAAAAAGATACTTTCGCTTTGTAGATCCTTTACATATTAGTAAATATATATCAGAAATTCTATTTGACATAATCGAAAGATCAAGCTTACTTGCTTATAAAATTTACTTATAAAATTGCTCTAACAGTGTGCAAAAAACAATAAGCCGAATCCCATCAAGATAAGGACAATGCAATCTCAACATTAACTGAATTAGATAATTTTAGCTTAGCTTATACCGTTCGTTATACATTAAACGCGCATTCGTAAACGTATTTTGCGAACACACATAATCGCAGCCGTAAAGGTCTTACGCGCATGCGTCAAAGAGACGCATGCGCAGAAAGTTTGTAGCTTTGAGGTCCGTATTATAGATCATTTCGGATTATGGGTGTCCGAATTAATGACTTTTGACTGTATTACATCTTCAAAAGTAAAAGTTTTGCATGCTGTCCAAAAATTTTTTAATTTTTTGTCCTCTAATTTTTTAAATCAGTGAAGTAATTGGAAATAGTAATAAATAATGTTTATCTTTCTCTGTGCTAGAAGGCAGCTTTAATTTTTTAGCTAATTTACATTTCGGCAAATATATAATTTTAAAATGTAAATTTTCATATTTTACCTTATGTAACTTTTTAAATCTCCTCCCTTGGAAATTAATATTTTTAGACTTAATTTTTGACACTTTGTACCTTTATTTTCTATAGATATTTTAGCTGTTTTAAAAGTAAATGTTATAAATAATATAAAAAATGGAATATTTTTACTGTATCTAAAAAATAATTTTAAGTTTTCTAAACCATTATTTTCATTTTTTCTAGGTGCAGATCTCAGTAATGCACCCTGGAAAAAGCCTGCTTACTTTACTGAAGGCAATGGTGTTAAATTAAAATATATAAGAGCAAGTAATGATATTAAACACGATTAAATTTTGGGTTTTCCAAACGTTACTGCTTATATTTGTATTTTGTTCATCTCTCCTAACTGATTATATATTATTTATTCCTGTTTAGTTGCCTCAAATATCCAAGCAGCATCTGACACTTTTATTGAACTGTTGTATCGTCTGTTATATCTTGATGTTGATGAGGTAAATCATGTAATTTTTTTTTTTTTTTTTGTTCAAATGTATATTTCTTTTTAAGTGTAAACAAATGCAACTAGATTACATAAGCTGCAAAATTTGTGCTTTTGTAATGTAATTAATTGTTTATACTTTCGACTATTAAGATAATTTTTTTTTATTAAATTTGTAGAGTAAATAAGAATTTTTTTAAAAAAAATCTAACATTATTTTGTAACACCTTTTGTGGTTTTCACTGAACTGCAAAATTACAATAACTAGCTTACAATTAGAAATTTTTGATAGAAGTATAATATTTATTTCTAATAATTCTGTTTTATGTCTTGTAGAAACATAACATGCGTCAAAGCATTCTGGAATTTAGTGGTCTAAAGTGTGAGGTTGGAACTAGTAATTACATCTACAGAATGAGAATTTTGTCTGTGTAAGACCTTCAAAACTTCATTTTGATTTCTTTTTGTATATTTTTGTTGATACATATCATAATATCCTGCTGTTACTTCGTAATTTATTCCTATACAGGCAATGTAATGGAAAAGTAATTTTTCATTGATGCCATAGTAAAATGGAGAATGTTAAAATGGAAATTTTTATCAAAAATATGACCCTTATATTCATTTATACTGAGTGAGAATTCTGAAATGAATGGAATTAAAATTTATTAATTACTATTTATGATGCAAAGATTATTACTATTAAAATATAATTGAATCATAATTCTAAAACAAATGTAAAGTCAGACTTAAATGCTTATAAAAAGGACATCTCATTGAAATGAAAGGATTATCCAAACTTGAAAGATGTCCCATTCTCAAGACTGGATGTGGTAGAAGTCTTCACAACTAGCGAGAACATTTTTCAGTACTTTTCTGGTTGTTATCTCTGGTAATAATGATAAGGATATTCATCCCAGCATCAATGAAATCTAACCTATAATTTGATTTGAAACTTTCATTGTATTTTATGTTTACTTATGGTTAGATTCTTATACGAATACAAGAATGCTTTGGCTTTTGCAAGGGAATTCATTCATTTTACTCCATGTTCTGCATCAATTTTCAAATTAAATTCTTTTCTTTTAAAAGTGAATTCGCTGTTTGAAGAGAAACAGAATCAGCCTCTGCGTAATGCATAAACTCTCCTTTCTGCTGATCATATTAATATCCCCAAAGTGACTCAGTAGCGTTTTGGACATAAAATCCTTTTTATAATTTTGGACCAGTGTGCATTAATGTAGAGTATAATGCCGGGGTATTAACTATGCTTTAATATCTTGATTTATATCTTTTTATTTATAAATTTTGTTTAAACCTCTTAGAGATGAAAAAGATTGCTCATAATAACCAGTTAAACATATTTTAACTAAATGTCTGTTAAATGTTTCTTAATTATTTTGAAAAAAAAAATTAATAACTGCTGTAAACTATGTTTAAGCCTGTGTAAAAAAATCTGTATGAAAAGTTGATGTTCTGTGAAGATTGAAAGAGTAAATTTAATTTTAAGAATAATATACCCTGTATTTTAATCTAAGAATATAATTTGGTTTAGTACAACATCCATCCTGTCTGTAAGACCGCTCTTATTAAATTTACTTCTGCCTGTTATGTTTTATTAAAAAAATTGAGAAATGGTTATTGCATATTTATCATTGTAAGAAATATCTGCTGATTTGAATAATTTGATGTTTATATTTTTATGATAAAAAAGTTTCTCATTTTATTTAATTTCTAATTGTTTTTTTTTAACCCACACGTATTGTGATTAAATTGAAAGGAGCATGTTAACATTAGACAGTTTACCTTTTAAGAATATTTGATGCCTGATCATGTCTTTTTCTCCCTTTTGTGTGTATGTTTATGGTGGTATCACAATTATTTTTTAATTAAAAACAATTTTGTTATGAAATTAATTTGTAAATTTAAATGTATTTCAAACTTTATACAGTAAATGTATACAAAATTTTATATTCACTTTTATATACTTTAGGCTGCCTATGGAACAAGTTAAGTTAATTTGTCGAGTTTTATGTCTTCCAACTTGGCACAGATCAAGACAGCTTTTGAGTGAAGGCATCATGGATTTTCTTGCTGCTCCACGAATATCTGTCATGAAAAAAAGGGGTAAAAGAATGTACCTTCATTACACTATACATGTAAATTCTGGTTAAAGAATTTTTCTAAATAGAGATCATCCTTTTCTTAAGTGTGCTGATAAAAAAATTGCATTTAAGTCTTTAGCTTTGTATTAGCAAGAAAATAAAGATAGATAAAAGAGGAACTTTTTACTTAAACTTTTTACCAAAAGTAAAAAAATTGCCTTAGATTTGCTAACTTTCCATGCCTAAATTTACCTTAGATTTGCTAACCTTTACTACTGTTATAATGAAATGTTGCGGTACCAGATGTTATGATATTACCCAAAATTAATTAATCATGCAAATTACTATGCCCAGTCAAAACATTATCTTAAAATAAGCACATTGCATTATATAGAATGCAATAAGCTGATTTTGAAATTATGATAAATGTTATCTTCTTTTAATGTATTACTAGCAAATTAGAATAACAATTGTACTTACTCCTACTTACTTCTTGCCAATAACTAATATCACACTTCATATATGGTTACTTTATTGTCTTTTCAAGCAGATACTAAATTAGACAAAACAAATTCCACCATCATTTATGAGTTCTGTTCCCTTGAGAGTTCTGTTCATAGCCAAATTATACACTGACAATCACAAGACACATGTCTGTCCATAAAGATACTGATAAATAAACTGTCAATGAAATATTTAACATGGAAAAATCACTGCTCCTGATATATTCTTGAATCTGTGCAGATTATTTTGTAAGTAGGAAAAAGCTGCTCTAAATTATGTCTACTTTATTTTTAGGCAACAGCACATGGCATGCTAACACAATAGCAGGACAAATTCTTAATCGAAAAGCATCATTCTTTGATGAATGAAGATACTTGCCTCAAAATGAAGTTAATCGAACCATTCTCAGTTGTTTTGAGCTCACAATTTATTTGTGATTATACAAGTCAAATTTCGCGAGTTGAAGATTTGGACATCATCATTGCAAACATAGAGCGAAGAAGCGTAGTGAGGAGAGTCAAAGTGAAGTTGCAGCACAAAGTCGATAAAGCTGGGGAAAAACCTAGTTCAATGAGAATTTATGCACTTGCGCTGAGCAAATTTGATGAAGATTCATTAATTGCAACTCAACTTTGAATGCTTGCTTCCACATATTCTGTGGCCAAAGAAGAAAAAAAGAAAGGCAGCACATTCCATCTTTGAACAATAAAACCTTGAAACCATCTGCACTATCAAAATTCTTTCAATTCAGGAACAGTAAAGTTTCATTTTAATTTTAATTTTATTTTATTTTTTTAACTTCACTACACCAGCTTCTGTAACTGTACACTTTGCATTATATGATGAATTCGATGCTTTCATTATGCAGAATAAAAAATGTTAGCTGATACATACAATTTATATTCTACATATCATAGATCTATCAAATAGTTTCTTAGTATCTAATAATGTGTTTTTTAAATTTCCCACATGCAGACACAGCATAGACTTACATATACATTACATATACATTGTGTTACTTACATATACATTGTGTACACGTTTCTTTTTTGTCCTTTATACAATTATATATATTATAACCACTGTTAGTTTTCCATTATATTTAAGGTTTTACATTTTAACCACATTTCATTTAACATTCAAAATTTTCCTTATATTTTCTCCAGTTTAATTGGGAATTGTCCATTAATTATTAACATTTGTTTAGATTCATTATTTTTTATAGGGAGATTTAAAACTTCTATTTTTGAAGGACATCATTACATAGTGAAGTTAGTTAGATTATGTCTGGTAAAAATTCAATTCTTCTTGTATATGGACCAGCCAACTCTATCAAAATTATGCATTAGCACTTTATTGCACTTAAGCTGCTTTTAATCATTCTCGAATTATCTAGTTTGTAGCTATGGCGAACATAGCCAAAATAATTTTTTAATTTTTTGTTTATATCAAATCCAAATGAATTTCCCCCCCCCCCTAATCCTACTCTACAGCATCAATTTGTGAAGGTTTTTAGAAACAACTTGCTTATGTGGATATCTTTTATTTTGTTATCTAATTGTATTGTGCGATTATAATTCTGTAGCTTCTTAATAATATCATTATGATGCCTTGTATTTCGGATGTAATACACTCTTGTCATTAAAACTCTGCATAAAGACTTTATCCCCTAATTCAGGAATTTTTCTTCCCTTCAAATACTCTTTTGCATAATTAAATTATTCGTTTTCATTTAATTTTACGTGTTCCTTATTGTTATTTAATTGGTCTTTTACTATTCTGGCAAATTGATGGAAATCTTCTCCTAGTTTAAGAGGATCATTGCTATCTATGGGAGTATTTAGTGTACCAAGAAAAAAAAGAAAAGAAGGCCCTGCTGGCTAAAATCTAGTTATGGAATGTCTTGCAGTATTGTACTTTTTATGACATCGCAATATTTTTTTTTTTTTTTTTTTAAAGGCTGCAATACATTTCTTCATCATCCTTGTACTCTTTCAATCAACCCATGCACTAGTGGGTAATAAATGGAACCTTTCTGTGCTCTGTATTTAGTGATTTTAAAAATTGGTTGAATTCTGTAGAGCAAAAGTAGGAACTGTTGTCTGATAAAATAAATTTGGAAAAGCCACATTTCATGGAATAGTTATTTAGGGGGTTTTATAATGAACTGGGAAGTGCAGTTGTTTAATGAAATAGTTTCTAAATACCTGGAGTAGTGATCGATGACAGGGAGAACATAAAACTTATCTGTGGATCTTGGCAATTTGCCCACTATGGCAATAGCTACCATTTCCCCCAGTGTGAGATCTCTCTTAGGAATCAAGCTACTATCTCCCCTCATGCAAGGTCTTTCTTAGGAATCAGACTTGTCATAGTGTTTTATAGTTTTGATTCAACCTTTTTTATCACTGTACATACCTCTGCAGCAGTATTTTGCTTTCAAAAACTCATATGTCTTTTGAAAACCGAAGTGAGGTGCATGAACAGTTTGTAGTGCGTCTTTGATTAGCATTTTAGGTAATAAGGTAATAGGCTTATTTTATATACATCTGTGTATCATTCCGAGGTTAATGGGTTTTAATTTTATCATTAATAGATCTGTATGACTATCAATAAAGTATTGTTTTACCATATCTTTGTAGTTAGTATATGCTTTTTTATAATTATTCTTATATATGGATCTTCTTGCTGTTTGCTAATTATGTGTTGAATTGACAGATTATACTAAAAATATTAATATTGTTTACCACTACTTCTTACTCAACTGGGTTCTTGAAACCTCTTTGGGCATAATATAAAATTTGAAAACTTTCATATTTTTTTTTACAGAACTGTATTTTTGGCTCCATCTAATTTAAATTTTTGTTATGTATCAAACACTTTTTGCAAAATATTTACTAGTTCATTTATGCTGGTAGCTGCTACAGTTATGTCATTTGAAAAATATTGTATATTTGCACTTGGCACAAAAAGGTAACCCAGTCAGTTGAAAATTGTCAAGTTCCGTACAAAATGCTGATTTCTTCTTATCACTCTGATCCAACAATCGAGATCTAGCACAGAATAGTAATTTTTACCTGCCGTATTATGGAGAATGTCTGAAATTTTGGGTAAAGAGATAAGACTGCATTATGCAATTTAAGAGCCTATTATCTACTGCCACCCTGAATTTTAATTTACTGAGATCAGTATTAAATAATTTTTTTTTTTTTTACAAAAATTACTGGGAAGCTATAATTTGATATTGATGGTTCAAGATGATGCCTGCTTCCAATAATTTGGCTACATCATGTTGTACATATTTACTAACACTATGAGGAATAGCATACGGTTTGGTCTAAATTGGAAACTTATGTAGCAAATTAGATTGTGGCATGGCAGCATCCATTCCTTCAAGACTGGAGTAGGGTTTTGAAAACATTGCTCAGTTTTTTATGAGCACTTCAATCATTTTGGTTCTTTGCTCACCTTCTAAAGTGGTTAAATCAAAGTCTTCAGGGATCGTCTCCTCCTTTCTTAATTTTTTAATTTATTTTAATGTTATATGGTTAATTTGTAAATTTTCTTCTATAGGCTTCTCAAATTGATTTTCCTCTATTTCTTGTTATATGTCATTTGCTTATATGTTACGAATCTTTTCATCCCTTTCTAAAATAATTTTGCAATTTGAATAGTTTTCAGTTATGATGAAAATATATTGTTTGTCACTTATCTCATGGACTGATTCAATCATAGCCATTTTTTCTAATATATTTTTTTTAAATCTGAGGAAAATAATACATGCTGGTCTACATTGTTGGTTTTGCTGCATTTTAGCTGGGATGCTTAATTTATTATCTCTGCACTCATTGGGAAGAATTTTAATGTTTAATACTACTCTTACGGTATTTGAACAATCTTGTTTGATATTATTGTTCACCTCTTCTGTACTATTGTTAGTCTTTTATTTTATACTGTCTAGTAAATCAAAGTAGATGTTGTCACTAATTAATTGATTTTATAAAATCTGAAAGCTTTCAGATTTTTTTTGTTTGTTTATTTGGGTTTTTTATTATTGTTTATTCTCTCTTTGGGTGTTTGTGTAATGCTTAATGTACTCGAGAAAATTGCAAGTACCCCTTATCAGTTTTAATCATTCCTATGAGCTTTAAAATCTTCTGTTGTTTGGGATATTTCTGCTATTATTTTAGAATCTATTTTCTCAAGTATACTGATTATTGTACCTATTTCTTCTATTGACAAAACTGCCCCTATACAAATTCTTTCTATAGCTTCCTATAGCCTGCCTATTTGGTTGATAATTATTATTTAAGAGAAAATAAGGACACACTGTAGTCCAATGATTTTGTTTTCAAGTATGGCAAAACATTTCTTTATTATCACTAATCTGAATCATGTTCATGTTTCATAGTTTAGTTGAATGATGTTTACTACCAGCAGGTACAAATTCACTAAGTTTGTTTGACAAATCCTCTATAGCTTTATTATTTTGCATTTCTTGCATTAGTAACATATTTATTTCGAGGGAGTAATCATGTGTTTAAGAATTACTACCTGAATTCCCCAATGCTTTCTCAATATTTTTTGCTTACCTGACAGCAGTGCCAAAATCAGTAGGGCAAAGTTCTTTAACTTCCAGTCTTAAATCTGGTCAGAATGCTTCAGTGAATTTTGAAGGTATAGCTTTTTAAGTGAAGTTATGCACCTCCTCCCTTTAATTGGGATAAAACCCAAAATATTCGGTAGCATATGCATTCACATTGTCAGCTAACTTTTAGACTGACTGATTCTGAGTTTGTCTGATTGAGGTAAAATTATTTCGAATCATCTCAAAGGACTGATATTTTGCAAATCGGTTTTTCAGTAATTTTGTTGAATCACTAAATGATGCATCTTTACATGATTCATTTTCCATTATAAATTTTATTGTCTTACCTCTCGACTGAATTTTTAAAACAAGTCTTTTTCTTTGCTCACTCCACTGCTCTAATCAGTCATTTGTTTCATTTGATCTAGAAAGATTGTTATTATTTTCATAATGCTCACCCAAAAAGGTAGGCAGAGCACATGCAAGACATTAACATTAGCTTTTTTTGCCTATGTCTTTTTTTTAAAATTTCAATATGTTCTTCAGCTGTTACCGATTTTATATATATATATATATATATATGGATTGGTATTTTTATCCTTATTGTGCCTTATTGTATTACTGCAAAACACTATTATCACATTCAGTTATTATCAAATAATCCTATTAATATATTCAGTTTGTACTGTCATTATACAATTATACACTTTACATGCGTAAAATTTTTTATAACTGATATTAAACATGGCCATATAAAAAAATAAGATCCTCAAACTTATTAATATTATAATAAACATTACTATTTTAACAGAATTATTTTGTATTATAGCAACATATTCATTTCATTATCTGAATCACCCATGTAGTAATTTTGATTATTAGGCACATTTTTTGATGGTTGAATTCCATAGATTTGGAAATAATCCACTGATTCCTGTTGTGTAGAAGAAATTTTAATAATGTTTTTCCTTAAATGCAAGAAAAAGTGCAACAGTAACATTTAATTTATATCCTTATTCATAAAAACAGAACATGGCTATCAAGAATCAATCAGGGTTGCATCGCACAGATGTTATTGAGTGTGGTATTACATTACACTTACCTATAATTGGTGTTAACTCACAGTTGGCACAGTTTCATGCTCGATGGGATAATAAGTAAGATCCCAAATATATTTGACATTTTTTACAATGAAAAAATATACCTTTAAATCTACTATACAAGCATACTTATGTGCGTAAATTAAAGATAATAAATTTATGTGTCTTTAGTAGATAGGCATGTATTATTTCTGTGTCAAATGATTCATGTGAAAGCATGACATCATTCTTAGGATCTGCCAAATGCTTTTCATTTTAAATTTGGCCTCAGTAAAAAATTAACTACATGTTGTAACAATACAAACACTTCTCCCCTTACTTCAGGGCACTATAATATGTCTTAAATGAATGCAGAAAAAATTGAATTTTATTAAGTACAGAAGAAATAAAATAGTGAAGAAGCTATGTTAGATTATAATAAGTTGTATAGATAATAATAAGATAATTGTATAGATAATAATAAGATATTACAGTAAAATATCTATTAAATTTTTGTATAGTTTAAAATGGGAATTATTTTCTTGCATATACTTACTTCACATTAGGATATCAAAAATTTAAATGATATATATGGCCATTAAATTGCAAACTCAATAGTTTTGAGATATTTCTTTATGTTTAAAACATGTATAAATTTTCATTTAAAACTAAGTTGTATTTTATTTGATTTTATTCTTTTAATCATTCTGACACGCACACATACATTTTCTGACATAAAAAAATTTATGCATTGTAAACTTTAATTTACTTTTACTTGATGAACATAATCTTGTTTTGTAATTTGAGATAAAAATTAAGGAAAGTTAAATTTTTTGAAAATTTTGTTACAGTTCCGCCTCATTTTTCTGACGAAATCACATTTTCTTTTGATGGTGCCAAAACTAATAAAGTGAGAATACCTGAGGTAATCTTCTTTAATAATAAATTCTTTTTCTTTGTTAGCATATTATTTATAAATTCAGAATGACTTTTTAAATGTTGAAGAAATGAAACTTGTGTGTGGTCAGGAAATTCCCGTAATTGAGCACTATTTTATTCTACTGCCATTAGTTTTTGCATTGTGAAAGTTCTATTAAAAGCACTCATGACTCAAAACACTAATTTGGTGTTTGTAATTTACTATTGTTTGTAATTTACTAATTGGTGTTTATCTTTGTAACTTCTTTCAGCTATATTGTTGCTTAAAATGTCAACTAATAGGCTTAAGTAGGGTAAAAGATGGTGCTATTGTTAATAAGAGCAACCAAAAATGATTATCTGTCATTGAAAAGGTGAAATGAACATAAATATAAAGAAAGGTTGAGTGAATATCTTGGTATTGAGCAATAGATAAGATGACAATTATTAATATATAACAATTAATCTAACAATTATTATCAAATTTATATCATGTGCTAACTTAATAACATCAACAAATTCATTTGATAACAAGTAGTATATGTTCAAATTAAAACTTTTTCATTGAACAATTACTACAATCAAATCAATTAATGATTATTCTAAATACAATTACAAAATAAACAATAAGTAAATTAAAATGAATAAATATATTCAAAATTATAACCACTATACTGTTAATACATAAATAAACAATTGTATTTTCTAACACAATTTGGAAAATTTAAGCTGTTTTCAATTATATGAAATAAAAATAGTAAATATAAACAATTGCATAAAACAAATATATATTGAATCAACTATTATTATTGAATAATAAAAGAATAACATTAAAGTTCCAAAGAATGTAGTAATCGACCTGATTTTACATATTGTGATTTTATGTTTTTTGGGATTATATATTTGAGATAAAAGAGTATTCTTTTATGAATTTTTGTATAAAATATCACTTCGTGTAAAACATTACCCAGATTGTACTCTTGATTCAAATTTTTATGTAGCTGTAATAAATCCCACTCTTATTTAAGATCTTTTTGTACATATAAAGTGCAATATTTATTTTCCTTTCAGTTAAAATCTGCTGACACAGAAGAAATAGAAATTGTTCCTGATATACATATACCAGATGACAGTAAGAATTTTATCCTTGAACTGGTTAAAGTTTTTATGTTTTAGTATTTCGTTTTATTTGCTAATTCCCCCCCCCTTTCATTTAAAATTTTCTTCTATTATAGCTTCAGCTAGTTTAGGCAGTGATTTTACAATAGAAAATGAATATCTTGGGGTTAAGCTGAAAAATTTCTCAAACAGTAAGTTAATACTGTCTGATTTCTCCTTATTATTTAGTTTTTTGTGTCTACTTTAATAAAAAAAAATATAGAATTGTAATAGTTAAGCTTACATTATAGTTTATTTTCATTTACCTTTAAAAGTATGTATTGCAATTGAATATTTAACTAAGTATTTAAATATTTTGGAATTTAGTGCATAAGAGTACCTATTATATATCTGTGATGTGCTAATATTGCATGTTAAATTTTGGGTATAGTGTAAAAAGTTATAACCATTTATTGTTTTAATCATATTAAAATGTATTTTAGGTTTAAATGTAAATAAATAGTTTAAAATCTGCTACCTGTAAGTTCTGTAATAAAATTTCTAGTCTTTCACTTTAAGTTGAGAGAAAACTGAATTTTAATCAGATGAAGAATAGCAGATATTCTTAAACTCATTATGAAAATTATGCATTTCTAAAGCTTTATTTTTGCTTTTCTAGTAGAATATTATTAATTGGTTATAAAATTTAATATTAGGTAATAATAGTATATTAGGTAATATAGTAATATTTTTATATTGTTGTATATACTCATAATTTCTTTAATCATAGTTTCATAATGTTTATTGTTTGTTGTAATTTTATTGTTTGTATAGTATATTCTGTTACTAACATATGCATCCCTAAAAAACTGAGATTCAATTATGAAACTCGGCATGTTCATATCATTTGAGCAGATTAGTAAATGAGTAATAAGTGAGTATGTTTCAGAGCAACAAAATATTTTATTAAAAAAATCATAGAAATAAGAATATTATTTGTGACCAAATAGTAAATAATTCTTGTACACAAGTCAAATGTAGCTATGCAATTCAATATTCGCTGTGGTATGGAGTCAATTAAATTGTTTATTTCTACTCCATAAGATTCTGTTGCAAATTTTGCAGTTATTCAGCTAAGTCACTGATATTGAAAAAAGGCTTTAGGTGCCTTCTTAATATGTCCCAGATATTGTGGAATTTATGAAATATGTAATTGAGCATTATCATATTAGTAAATGTCTTTTAGCCAGCTTTAAAACATATGCAGTACAGTCATCTGCAGAATATATTTTTTCAGTGTACAAATTTTTTTATAGGGCAACTAGAGGAGATCAGTTTTCCTAAATAATGCTTCCCTAGATTGTCACACGAAGTGTGAAAGTTATATGCAACTTGCCATTGAGTACTAGACACTTCCTCTATATACATAGGCAGTGGTAAAAGGCATGCATTTAATACTTAAAGAGAAGCAGACTACATCATTAAAGAAAACAGCTATCTAATTGAATACTTTCCAGGATGATGAAGGTTGGCACACATCTGTGTTGCTCTGTTTTATGTTGGATATTAGTGACGGTCTTTTTGATGAATATCAATAACTAATCCCAATCATTTTCAGATGGTATCCCTTGATATTTCTGAGTACAGTAGAGGATGATAAAGCTTTAAAATGGACGATAGTAGTGCCACTGATACAGTCTTGATTATTTTCTGATTGCACAATCTCCTCAAGTATTTGTTAATCTGGAGTGTCTTGAGCCTGTGTAATGTTTATATATGCTCTGTTCGATCTATTTTTGCCATCACTGAACAACTACCATATTAATCTGATAAAGATAGCAGCTAGTACATTTTTAGAAGCAAGCCATTTCTCTTAGATCAATGATGTGATCTCTTTTTAAATGAGACAGTTGTTTGAAGAAGCATTTCAAATATGTCAAAAGGCATCTTGTGTATTTTTGTAGTAACATGAAAGCAGGAAATCCAGTTAAAATTGATAACTTGTGAAAGTATCTCTTTTAAATGCTATGCCCCTTTCTTATGCACTTTGAATGAGTCCCATATAAATATTGACATTGAATTTCGTATCATTCACACAATTTTTCACTGCATATATACATATGCACGAAAAAGTGTGTGTGTTATATATATAAATACAATTTTTTATCAATCAGCATTATAGTTTGATTAAATTCAAAAAAGTAATTATGATTATCCTATCTAAGAAAAAGATGTAGTGAAGAAACTAAAGGTGAAAACAAGTTAAAACAAATTGTCAACTTAAAATTGAAGTAAAACCGTCCATAAAAGCATTGTAGATAGAAATGCAAAAAAATACGAAAAATAAAATATTAATCTCCCTTGTTTACTGCTTCAAACAGAATTTGTCAAGGGATAAGTGTTTGAAGCACTAAACTGGTCAATCAATGAGTTTCAAATGCATATTTCATTCCTCTGAACAATTTCAGACTTAAAACCATTTTTAACAAATTACTGTTTTTCATAAATAAAATCACAGAGAGTCTTAAATAAGGTCAGAGCTTCCCCTACATTCATTCAAGCTCTTAGAAACAAATGTACCCACGAAAAACAATAATAGTAAAGATCATATACGAAAGTATTGAGCATGCTAAAAAATTAAACAAAATGTACAAATTAGAATAAAATGAAAGAGAAAAAGTAGAAATGTAAAGAATACTTAGAAAAGTTCGAAAACTTAATGAACTTATCTAAATAAGTGGTTTAGTGACAAACTAAAAGTCTCTTTTACGAGTAATAATAGGGCTGTCTCAACAACTTAAAGCTTTCTCTTTTTTCATATATATAATGTTTTTTTAAAACTGTTGGTGCTAGTACATAAAAGCTAGAAAAGAATCAACAAACTTAATGTAACAGACAAATAACTTACAATTGTGAATCAAGATGCCTCTCAAAATGGCGGAAATCATTCAAACAGTAATGCAGGAGATAGGTAGGATTGCCATATTCATTGCTGGAACTCAGCATGTCTCTATTATCACACTGAGAATCTTGAACCAATCATTGAAAAAAGAAGTGTGCTTAGAAACAAATGAAAAGAATTCTTCCAGAATAGTGCTATTTGGCAGGCTGTTGGCTAAACATCTTTGGTCCATGCGCTTAGATGTCTTAAAATTAAGGGGGAGGGGAAGTTCCTGGGATGTTTTTGACTAGGTTGCAGTAAGAGAAATGGTGTCAGAATTTACAAGGTCATTTCAAGTAACAAAATGTGTTCTGATCTGAAATGCAGAACTTATTAAAACTAGTAAACTAGTAAACAAAAAGGTAGTAAAAGAAGATGGCAATCTTCATTTAATCAAGCTGTAATATATTTTATAAAAGAAAATGGTCCTTTATTAGTAAAAAGTTGCTTTATTAGTTTAAAGTTGCCAGATTAATTATTTTTAAACTGAAAACTGAGAAAGTAGATTCATATTTTACAAGAGAATATTTACATTAAGAGGTGGTGATAGTGTACAAAATTAATTACATACGAACATTAAGTTACCTGTCATAGCCATCCTACTTAGCCTTATCGGTTTAGGTTGCAATAAGCATATTAATGTAAAACGTAATATAAAAATTGTAGTTAATCCCAGCTTTATTCAATATTTGGCAAATTTTAAATGTGGTAATTTTATTTTCTCTGGACAGATCAATTCTTCTTGAAAGTAATCAGCCTTATTGCATACTTTTTTAATTCTAAGAAGTTGTGACACTACAAAATCCAAGATCCAGATTCGTCAGGGCTTAAGCGATTCTGAATCTGGAATTTTTCCGAACATTAGATCATCAGTTTAAATCTAGTAAGATGGCATGTGGAAATTATAAAATTCAATATATGAAATCTTGATTTATGAAATAATGAAGCATTTATGACCTAAAGGGTATCAAAATTTACAAAATAAAAAGCTTAATATTTATTTGTTTACTTTATTAAACATTTCTTTCAATGTAAGTTGTTTAAGTTGCTTTGTTTTTTGTGCTAATACTTTCTCTTTAATTTTATAAACAGACATAATCTCATGTTCAGTTACATTCCACCCTTGAAGTCCTGTAGCTGCTGTTTCGAGAATTACTGACTAACTTGTCAATCAAAATTTTCCCATTTTCAGTATTCAATAACCTCTCTGTCACTTTCTTCACTATCAGTAGCGGTATTTTCTGTCATACTACAGATTTTGCCATCCGTTAATTGATTGATAATTGAGGGATTGTCATCGCAATGATAAAACTTCTGTTATATCATCTTCATTTATTACCGATTCTCCATATTTCTACTACAAAATTCATTAATTGTAAAAGTTCACCTTTGGTTTATGATATCCGAAAACCTTCATGGCTATCGTCTTCATCATGTTCACTATGAAATATGGTAGCTGGCCATAAATTATGCCAAGCATTTTTCAAAATATCTGGAGACACATTCTCCCACAATTTTGTGATGCTCCACACATTTGGTGCCTTGAAAAAACTCATATAGGGCTAACACTTCTTTGCAGCTAAAGAACTCCTACTGTATTTTCTGCAAGTATGCGTGATTAGAAAATGGCATTTGATGGACAATGCATGTCAAAATGAGACAACTACAAAGGAAGAAATACCTTTTAAGTCTTGATTTCTGTCTTGAAAAAGAATTAAGACAGATAGCTTCAGTGTGGGTAAGTTTTGTACAGTGCAGGATTTACTATATGCTACACAAGCTATAGCTCAGGGTCCCCACTTTCTTGGGGCCTTCCCCAAAAAAATTAAAATATAGTGTTAAGAGTAATTCACAAAAAAAGGTAAGCGGACTGTCTATATCACTTGTTTATTTTACATAACTCTTTGAAATAGAAGGAATGCCGTCCACGTGACGACACAGCTCACATCACTCCAAGCACAGTAGCAACTAATAAAACAAAAAAGAATAGAATACTAATCACATAAAATTATGAGTTGAAAGTTCGTTACCATAGCAACCAGAATTGAATCATCAGGTGGCAATGCCATCTAATGTTGCAAAGACACACTAGTAATTCATTTGGTACAAAAAATACTAAACATAGCCCCCGGCCTTGAAGCCTTCTAAGGGTTCACATACATAATAACATTAACAAAAAAAAAAAAAAAAAAAAAAAAAAAAAAAAAAAAAAAAAAAAAGAAAATATAACTAAAATTAAAGTTCAATAATATGAAAAATGTTCATATTAGT